GCCGTTTAAATCTTTCATAGATGACTATTGATACAGTTCTTCCATATGGGTATAACTTTTATTATTATTATTATTATTAGTAGTAGTATTATTATTATTAGTATTATGATTAGTAGTAGTATTATTATCATTATTATTATTATTATATCGGTATTACTATTTTCTCACACCTCACAAGGTCAATGGAGAAGGATTTTTCTCACAAATATCAACTTTGAAAACTGTTCCTTGGATAAGAAATCAAATTGCAGCACTTGCGCAGAAGGGTGTCAAATGCCCTTTAATAAATAAGGTACAGACACCTGCACTGTGTAGATATACCTTGTAGTAGTATAATTATTTGGCATTTATTTATATATTAGCTGATTTTGTCTGTTGACTTGCACTTACAAAACAAGGACTTTGATACAAAGGCAAAACATAACCAATAAAAGTTCAGGCCTTTCCCAAGAGCTAGTTTATCTTTAGTCAGCAAAAGAACACAGACTCTGACCAGGTCTGTGTTTTTTGGGATGTGCAGTTAGAGACTGCTTATCATTGATTCTCAGCCAGTCAGCTTTGAGTGGAAGTGACTGGACAGCACAGACCTTCAGATTAGGCTTGGCCTGTGAGATTCTTGTGCCTAAAATTTAAACGAAAAGTTGTCTCTGCATGATTAGGATGAGATTGTTTTAAACTAACTATATGGATTTTGAATACTGTTTTAAATCAACAGCTTCAGTCAATTTAAGGATTGATGTGTATGCCACGAAACCTGCAGAACACAACACACAGGATAGAACTCCTGTTTCAACAACAGAATCAGTAGTATCTAATGATGGTGAGCATAAGGAGACATCTGCAGTACCTGTGCCATCAGAATATACATGTATGCAAGCAGAAAATGAAGCTCTCCAAGCATCTACGGAAAAAGTATTGGGTTTGATTGCTCACAGGTACCTGAAGGCTACACCACTGAGCAACGAGGATGACTTAAATAGCTTTTTGGCATACATGAAAGAAATGCGACTCATTATTACTGGTGTTAGTATTGGAAGTTTGCTGATAACAGTGAAGTGTGATTCACTCCAGATCCTGGAGAGCTTGTGGGTGGATTATTTGTCTGGTCATCTTGGTGAAGTGGTTCAAAGATGTTTTGTTACGGAAGAGATCTTGACAGAATTGAGCCTTGAAGAGTTGCAGCTTAAAACAACAATCTCAGAAGAGGAGTATAAAGCATGCAAAATGTTCCTTGGGAAAGATTCAGCCAAAGGTTAGTTTTAAAACAAGCCAAGAATTTCATGGTAATGATCATTTCTGGTACCATAATGTTATTGAGAAATAGCAGAACTGGAAAACTCTTTCTAATGGAGATCTTCATATCCTTACTGTTTGAAATTTATTTAGTATACATGTATATGAGTTTAAATTCTGCTCTGGTTCTTGACAATCACATTGTTCAGTAGTAAGTCAAGTAATTCCTTTGATCAGACCTCTGATTACCAGACAGTCTATGTGTAACTAAGGGCGCTTTCCATTCAATCCAAAATTCTGAAAATTTCGAAAACGGGATAAATGGTACGGAAAGTTTTTTCATCATGAAGATCATTTTTGGTTTTGTCATGAATGTAATAAGAAGTAAAGTTACTTAAGAGCAGCCTTATTGCTGTATATTCGGGAAGCAGGAAATTCTATTCTTTCTCTACTTGTGCCTTTTTCAATTTACCCACGTGTAGAATCAGTTTGAGAAGTTGGTAGGTTTTGTAAGTTAGCGACTTCTCCTGGTTAAAATGTCAATCTTTTTTTTTTTTACCAACGTACAGAAGCAGATGAAACAGATGATGATGATTCAGCATCAGATGATGAAGGTACATGACATGAAAAAATTGTTTTTTTTCCAGCAAGGGGGAAAATAGGCATCCAATGTGTGCTTGTACCTATTGCGAGATGCCTTTATAAATAAATATTTCTGCAGCTGGAATTTCTTTTTAAGTCAACACTACCTTGACATAGGGCTTGCTTTATACTCCGACAGTACATTAGTGTTTTATGTTGTAATATTTATATCATATGATATTTACATGGATCCAAAAATATTTGCTTTAGATGCTAGTGCCTTCAAAATTCACAACCACCCTCAACTAATATGGAGCCCCACCTAAAATAAGCCGAGGAAGTTAAGCCTTGGAGTAAAACTTATCCAAGAATAAGAGGGCACTGTAAAGATTGGTTCATCAGCTTTAGGACCTTAATGTCCAGTTGAGGGTTCTTTAGGGTTATTCCTTTCCATTTTGAGCTCCAAAGAAGTTTCCTTTGGTTGCAGAATTGGAGAATTAAAACACTTTGAAACTTTAATGGGAACATCGTCTGAAAAGCAGTTTATCCAGAATTCAGGGACCCTCCTATGTTGACATTGACTTATTGATTGTTAGTCACGTGATCACATGATTTAACTTTACTCGCATCGTATCTTGTTGCATTGATAGATTGAACTCTGGAATTCTAGTTTAAACTACCCAGTGAGCAGAGTCTCCTTCGATCTTCCTAGACAAATCGGGAAGAGAAAGGAGACTCTGTGAGCAGCTCCAAGATTCTTTGATCCGCCGCTTATCTGAGAAAATGGATGAGTCAGTCCAGTTTCCTTTTGGTCAAACCGGTTTCTCACTGATGCGCATGATCACTTGCGAGAATTGCTGAATATTTCCGCGCCCATTTTACGTGAGCATGGTGACTGCTTCGCTTTCGTGCAAAGTCTTCGTAAAAGCCGTGAAATCCGCGTTCCAAAAAGTTAACATTGGTAACATTTCAAGCCTCGCAAACACAAACAAGATCTCTGTTCAGTTTTGTGTGGCAATGATACGTTCGTCTCCCTTCTGCTCGGTCATGGCAAATCGCTGATTTACCAAATCTGTCCTGTGGTTGCAAAGGAACTTTCTGACTTTGAGGAACAGTTCCCAGCTGAACCAATGCTTTTTGTTGTCTCGCCCTTGCCCGTGAATGCACTAATTTCAGATCAGATAAATTCCCCCGAGAGGATGGGGATCAACGCTTGCAAAGTCAACATGGAAAGCACGATTTCTCTACAGAAGCGATGCGACTACCAACTATTGTATGCGAGCCCTGAGGTCTTTGACAATGAAGATGTGAGAAAATTGCTCCAGCAATATTGCGATGGCATCATTGGCATCATGATCGACAAGTCGCACTGGGTTGTCCAATGGTAGGATTTGTTGATGTGTTAATTTAATGATTAACATATTTTGACAACGAGGTTGATCGAGGCTCGGTTACCTTTGCGTTGGAGCATGCTCAATAGGAAATCTTGAAGCCGCTCGCAGAGTCTCCTTCCTCTTCCCGATTTGTCTAGGAAGATCGATGGAGACTCTGCTCGCAGGGTAAGTTTAAACTCGGTCAGATTCACTTTAGCCAGTTGTTGAAAAGTCGGAAAAAGGAATAAATTCATTACACGGTCCTTCGGAGTCAGATTTTGGCACAACAATGGCTGAAGTACTCAAGAAACAAAGGAAAATCCGTAGAGGTCAACGAGCACATGTCACGAAACTCCTCGTTAATTTAGAGCTGTCGCTACAGGATGAACTCTCACAACAGAAGATTATACTCAGGGAAAAGCTCGACTCCTTGAATAGCCTCCATAGCAAGATTTTGGAACTCGTAGATGATGAAAATGAAGACGAATTTATCGCACATGAAGTTGCTGAAGCAAGCGAAATCACAGATGAAATCACGTGGGCTGTGGTTCGCATTGATTCGACTTTGAAATCTCTGCAGATTAATTCGTCGATCACCTCAACCCCGAGCGCTTCAACTGGAAACGTAGGCTTAAGTCCCCAATCTGGACTACTTTTAAATGGAACAACTGCAGCATTGAACGTCAACATTTGCGCCAAATTACCAAAATTGGAAATGAAAAGGTTCAATGGTCGACCAACGGAGTGGCAAGCATTTATCGATTGTTTTGACAGTGCTGTTCATTCAAACCCAAAACTTAGTAACAGAGAGAAAATGAGCTATTTGAAGTCCCTCTTTGAAGGTCCAGCTGCGGCTTCAATTAAAGGGCTGCCCTTGACATCGGAAAAGTACATCTTGGCAAGAAAGATCTTAGAGGAAAGGTATGGAAACAAACAATTAATCATTAGCTCTCATGTGGATAACTTACTTAAGTTGCCCGTGGTCAGTTCTGTCAATGATGTTAAGGACATCAGACAATTATATGACAAAACAGAAATCCATATCAGAGGCTTGCAAGCTTTGGGTGTAGAGGCTCAACAGTATGGTAGCTTCTTCGTCCCAGTTCTCCTCAGTAAAGTACCCCAAGAGCTAAGATTGATAATCAGCAGGGAGTTTGACTCAGGAAATTGGAGCCTTGATGAATTGTTGAAAGTATTCAAAACAGAAGTTGAAGCTGGGGAAAGGTGTAACTCAATGACAACAACTCCCCGGAGAGGAAACACCCACCCAAGCCCCCTCCACCAACTTTCATTGCTGACCCCTGAGGGACAGAGAATGACATGTACCTTTTGTAAGCAGGGCCACAGATCAGTAGACTGCGGTGTCATCACGATCGTCGGTGAAAGAAAGGACAAACTCAAGAAACAGGGCTTTGTTTCATGTCTCAAGCACTCCCACATTGCAAAGGAATGTGATTCCAAATGGGCCCGCTCAAATTGTGCTCAGCGACATCATCCAGGCTTGTGTATGGCCAATGACACTCCAACATCAGACAACACTATAGCAGGTGTAACTCAGCCATCAACCCAAGGAAGTGGACAACCAAGTTCAGCCGTTAGCATGTATGTTGATAGCAAGACATCAATTTTGTTGCAAACTTGCATTGCCTTAGCATCAAATCCTACCTCAGTACAGCCTCAAGAGAAACATTGTGTAAGAATCATCCTGGACAGTGGAAGTCAGAAGACGAACATCACACAGCAACTTAAGAAGACTCTGGGCCTGAAACCAATAGCAAGGGAAGGATTGTGTATCAAGACATTTGGAACAGATTACAACAACCTCAAGACTGTTGGCATTGTACAGCCTCAAGAGAAACATTGTGTAAGAATCATCCTGGACAGTGGAAGTCAGAAGACGAACATCGCACAGCACCTTAAGAAGACTCTGGGCCTGAAACCAATAGCAAGGGAGGGATTGTGTATCAAGACATTTGGAACAGATTACAACAACCTTAGGACTGTTGGCATTGTAAACCTGTGTCTGAAGAATGTTGATAATGATGTCATTGTAACCATTACAGCCCATGTTGTACTAGTGATCTGTTCACCGCTGAATTATCAAACCATTCAATTTGCAAGGAAGAATCATGCCCATTTGAAGGACATTGTTTTGCCGCAATGTATCTCAGAAGAGAATCTTGTCATAGACATTCTCATTGGAGCAGATCAGTATTGGAACATTGCAAATGGAGAGGTCAGAAGAGGAGAGAGTGGACCTATTACTGTGAACACAAGATTTGGATGGACATTATCTGGTCCCATCGAGAATGCACCTTGCTCAGATACCCATTCTGTCAATTTGGCAGCAACACATGTACTCCAGATTGACGCTCGCAGAGATGAAATGGACGTACATGAAATGGAGCTTGAAGTGAAACTCCAGACCTTCTGGGAATTTGAATCAATTGGAATTAAGCAGGAAGAAAACTCTGTTCCAGCAACATTCAGAGAGACAACCACTTTTGAGAACCAGAGAGGATGCTCATGACCCACTGCCTGACAATTGCAGTCTCAGTCAAAGAGGATTACAGTCCTTGTTGAAGAGACTCAGCCATAAGCCAGAACAACTGGAGGAGTATGATCGTGTGATTAAGGATCAGCTGGACAAGGGAATCATCGAAAGAGTTGACCATTCTAAGAAAGCCCAGCCTTGTCATCAGATACATTACGTTCCCCTTCACTGTGTCGTGAGAGAGGACAAGTCAACAGCCAAGCTTCGCATTGTGTATGATGCATCAGCAAGAGAAAATGGGCCAGCATTAAATGATTACCTCCGTACTGGACCACCCCTCCTGACATCCTAGACATTCTCATGAGATTGAGAGTCCAGCCAATATCACTAGTTGCTCATCTCTAGTTGCTGACATAAAGAAAGCCTTTCTCGTGATAGCCGTCAAGGAGGAGGACAGAGACATTCTGCCTTTTCCGTGGGTGAATGCCGTGAATTCAGCGGAACCTAAGATCGTGGAATACAGATTTGCTTGAGTCGTTTTTGGAGTTACTTCGAGTCCCTTTCTTTTGAACGGAACTCTCCTCGAGCACATCACCAGCTATGAAAGGGAAAACCCTGAATTTGTCAGTCAGATGCTTTGCTCGTTGTATGTACATGTAGATGATCTGAGCTTAAGCCTTGTAGATGAGGACAAGGCATACCAACTCTACCTCAAGTCAAGAGAGAATGGCTCAAGGTGGATTTAACTGCGCAAATGGATGACTAACTCAAGGCTCCTAATGGAGAAGATCAAGGAAATGGAATCTCAGAGAAAAAGGGAAGCTCGATGAAGATGATGAGACATACAACAGAAGCATGGTTGGTGGTCTTGAAGAGAGGGATGTCAACACTGAACAGAAGGTCCTGGGAACTAGTTGGAGCTATTTCACTGATGAGTTATTGTTCAAGTTTCAGACACATGTGGAAAGCGCACAAGGTCTAATACCCACATAACGGAACGTACTCAGAGTGATATCAAGTTTTTATGATCCTATGGGCTTGATCTCACCAATTATTGTATAAATGATAATTCTTCTGCAAGACATCTGCAAGGCAGACTATCACTGGGAGGCAGAACTTGACTCGGAACTGAAAACTCAATGGATGAAGTTGATCTCAGAGTTGGGGCAGGTGAATGTCATTCAGATCCCCAGGTGTGTCACTTCCGAACCTGATACTAAGGAAGTTGTATATGAGCTGGAGGCTTTCGGTGACGCCTCATCCTTAGCCTATGCAGCAGTGGTTTACTTGGTAATCAAATCCTGAACCAGTATCACGAGGCTCATAATCTAATCAGTGACTGTCACCACAGGGCGATGCACAATTGTGTAAGGGAAATGCTGACAGAATTGAGATCGCGTTTCTGGCTCACCAAGGGACAGCAAGTCATCAGAAAACAAAACTTCAACTGCGTAGTGCGTAGAAGACGTGAAAGAAGGTCATACAAGGTTGAGCCATCATCAGATATACCTGAATTCTGATTCAAGGAAGGATACCCCTTTGCAAGCACAGGAGTAGACTTTGCTGGACTGCTATTTGTGAAAACTGTCTTTGGAAAGGGAATTCAAGTCAGTGAAGTGTACATTTGTTTATTCACCTGTGGAAGTACAAGGGCTATACATATTGAGCTCACTCCAAGTCTTACAACCCAGGCGTTCATTCGATGTCTTCAAAGATTTGTGGCCCGTAGAAGAATTCCAGAACTTGTCACATCTGATAACGCGAATACATTTAAGGCAGCTGCTACTCAGCTAACAAAGATCTTCAATGACCCTGACGTCACATCTTTGCTTTCCAGTGAAAGTTTAATCTTGAGAAAGCCCCATGGTCGGGGGGAGTTTTTGAACGGATGATCAAGGGTACCAAACGTTGTCTGAAGAAAACACTTGGAAAGGCTCGCCTGACGTATTGGGAGCTCTTGACAGTTCTAACTGAAGTTGAATGCATTCTGAACTCCAGGCCATGAACCTATCTGTATCCAGACGACCTGTAGGAACCTTTGACACCATCTCATTTAATCAGTGGTAGACGGTTGCTGTCACTGCCAGATACAACCAGAAGTGAAGCAGACAACTCAAGTACCCGTGAGACAGTCACAGGGAGAGCTAGATATTTACAGAGATTAATGGATCACCTTTGGAATCGATGGAGACGGGAGTACATCCCAGTCCTCAAAGAATCTCACAGGTTGAAGCTAGAAGAAGACAAGAAGACAAGGGGAGCAGTCGTCGCATTTCTGATAAGGGAAAGAGTTCATATTTGCAGCGTCTTCTACAACGCTTGTTTCCTTGTGAAATTCTAGATGATGTTAAGAAGGAACTGGAGAGCTTCACTGAAAACGTCACCTGTGTATTGAAAGAAGGGAAGCTGGAATCCATATAAGCAGAGCTGAAAGAAATGCCTTTGCGACCACGGAGACAGCCAGCTCAAGCAGGTGAAGAAAGGAGGATACTACTAACCAATGCTTAGAGCCGTTGGTTAAGTTGATTGGATTAAAGACAAAGTTGTGTAGAGAACACATAATGACTCGGTTGCGGGATGGTTTAGGTGTCTCTATTGTAGACTTTATTGTTATCGAATAGTGAAGGACATTAACCAATGTTTTTGGTCCATTGGTTAAGGTGGGGTTGTGCGGAATTCAGGGGACCCCCCCCCTTAGTTGACATTGACTTATTGATTGTTAGTCACGTGATCACATCATGTAATTTTACTCGCATCGTTTTTTGTGTATGTTTTTATTGCGTTGATGGATTGAACTCTGGAATTCTAGTTTAAATTCGGTCAGATTCACATTAGCCAGTTGTCAGTGTAAGTTGGAAAACGGAATAAATTCATTACATAGTTTAAGCTGCAAAATACATTTAAGGGTTTCTTTAAGTTTTAAGTCCATATCTCTGCAAGTGGTTTGAATGTGAGGAGTTCAGTTTTCAGTTTAAATCACCTGGTTAACAGGTTACTTTAAGGTAATTTGTGACATCATTGTGAGCGCAGAGATCTTGATATGGAGTCTACAGGAAAAGATGTTTTGTTATAACTTAAAGAATGTTACTTTTTATCGCTAAATCCTCGCTATGCTGTATTTTGAAAATGTCTAACCACACAATGATGCCATAAATATCGCCCATCAAATTTTTCAAAATTGAACATGGCAGCACGTGCAAAATTTGAATTCCAAAAAGTGGATTGCTGAAACTAAACCTCCAGTCTTAAAAACGGGTAAAGAATTATTGACTTGAAACCTCTCAAACACTTTGTCACAAGCACCAACTTATGATTTGGAACATGACAATACTGTTTTTTAACCAAGATTCCCTTTAAAACACACCATCATCTGTGTACACGACTTTGTCTACCATCATACACTGCCTGGAACCTCCTATCTATTTTGAAGAAGACATCGTAGGCCATCGATCATGTGATTATCATTTGTGCTTCAAGCGGTCACGAACATCATTTATTGTTACAAATTACTCGGTGGAAATTTTAGGATAATGACTGAGAAGTGTTTAATACGTTACTGGTGTATTTTAAGAAGAGAAGTGTATTTTTTGAACACTAACAGCAACCAAGCAGACACCATTATGATGTTTGAGGTTTTTTGCCAACTCCTTGCAAGGGGGATTTTTCTAGCATTCTACTGTACTGAAGAGATAAGAACGTGTGTAACAAAAAAATCTGACTCATTCTGCATTCTGGAGTGAATCAGTTCCATTGTGTTCCAGAATGGTAGGGGAAAGTCAACGCAAAATGGAGCACTGAAAGAAAGCTTTCAGCATAGCGTTAGCTTAGCTTACTTCTGCCCAGTACTGTATTGTCTTTTTGCCATCATTATACGATAACATGTACATCAATTACATCACGATGCTCAACTCAGTAGTGAGTCTCCCTTTATCTTTGAAGATCAATGTGGAAATGTCACTGTGTCTGTGGAACAACCAATCCATGTGCTTTTCCCTGATGAAGAGAAAGTATCTCAACGGGACGAAGAAGGTGATTTACAAACAGAAACAGTGGAGGGAAAACTGAAAACTAGAACTGATGAGGGTTCTTCATTTTCAAAGGATGAAGGTACTTGTAGATTATTTTGGCAAACCAGCTGAAACAGAGTCTTCCACAAGCTACAGTACTAGAGCTTCTCTCGCGTGAATTTTTTTTGTCATTCATTTCTTGGAAAAGAGACATACTATAAAGTTGCGGAAGTCACAACCCTTTGAGTAGCGATCCTCTGAAAGTGGAAGTTAAGTTATACATTTCATAGCAAATAATGCAAGCAGCAAATTTCCAAAAAGTAATGACCCTGTGAAATTTAAGTAGCGGCCTCAAATACAATTTGACTTGTCATGACACACGACAGAAACAACAGATAAAACAACCTGAGCCAAAATGATATATTTGGTTTAGATGACCTTTGACCCTTATTATAAAGGCATTATATCTGAATCCAAATGTTTACAGAATAAGAAACTCTCTAAGCAATATATATTTGCACAGACACGGTCAGCAGGTACTTATCATACATGTAGTGACGTTTACATATTAAGTCATTAATGTCTAGGTCCCTCATAAGGGAGGCTTTAAAGCATTCAGTAGAGGTAGCATTCTGAATATACTGGGGTAGATAGTTCCACTATGGGTTGGTACTTGGGAAGAAGGACAAGTTAACAATGGAAACGGAGCGAGTTGCCTGTGACACCAACAGGATGTTAACGTTAAAACCTGGTTACCAAACTTCCGTCACACCTTATTTAACTGATAATCATAGTAACTCAGCAGTGAGTCTCTCTTTATGTTTATACAGATCAATTTGGAACTGAAGGTGTACCGATAGAAGTAGCTGTGGATAATCTAACCCATTCACTTGAAAAAGTGGTTTTTGAAGGAAACGATAATATCAGTTCTGATTCAGGTATTTGGATATGTGTTAATGAATTATACATGTGATACTGTGAACTGTTTTAGCTTTACTGCTATTTTTTTCAAACTCATCAGTCGTGTAAGTGTGTTGGAAAACATACTTCATAAACTACATGTACCTGTATTTACAGACTTCTTCAGTACTGTTTAGTTTTTGTGTGTAAACAGAAATCCTGAGAGTTGGTTTGAAGAAAAGACAAAACAAATAATGCCATGTTTTGTGCAGGCTGATACCCCCTGTAAATACAAGCTAATGCTCGAACTAATACATACATTGTATGACGGTTACTGGTATATTTAAATGTAATGCTCGTGCTAGTTGTAAGATGAAAAAATGGTTATACTGCGAATACTTAACACGTAATGAATTCATAATGCAGAGGTATATAAAGAACACTCACGTTTTGTCAGGGATTTTGTGAGTAGACTTGTCGTTTACAAGTAAGTTTAACTTTAAGAGCCGGTTGATTAAACGTTGGCAGTTGAACTGTTGGAGTGAAAGTTGTCGTCCGCGCTCGTTACAGTATTCCATGAAGGAATTTTTTCAATATACTGTAGCCTTTAAAATCAAGGATAACTTTTGTTACTGTTGTTACTTCCGATATATTATCTCTATTTTCACGTTATTGAAATAGTTCATTTTACTACCAGTTTTCCTCCAAACTATTCGTAAATTATGCTTAAAAATCACTCATCGTACTTTCATAATGCTCACTTTTGCAAGAAGTCAAATAAGGGGTGTGATACTGCAAATGTTTCCAGCATAATCTATCCGTCTTGGTCAAAGACGACAGCCAGGGCTTGAAGCATACGTATATACCTCTAGATGCAGAATCTGATGCACTAAACATTAGGCCACTTCATGAAAGGTCGGCATTTGCGTACTTGTAGTCTTATGCTTAGTTTTATTCCATTCAGTTGGAGTGATGTTTTTAAATGTCAGTATCTGGGAGTTGAATTGTTACAAGTGAGAAGGTAGAAAAGTCGTTGTAAATTTTAAGTGGGAAATTTATGGCAGAATACTATTTACTTTCTTAATTTAGCCTCTAATAATAATTATTTATTTAGCTCTTAGTCCCTGTGGGACATCACACAACAGCAATCTCTCAATTTAGCCCTATTTTGTGCAGCATGTTGTTCCTTGTCCTCTATGAGACAGAGTTTTAATTCGACGAGCTCGACACTGTTTACACATGTCAAGTGAACTTGTACATGTAGTGTCAATATGTTTTGCTTTTTAAATACATAACAACATCAATAACTGAGTCCCGCAGGGTTGTCAGTCGGTTTTTGAGTAGCAGGCTCATTCCAAAAAGTAGACGGCTAAGGTTCACGTGAAAAACTTGCCACAGAGTGGCTGGGTACGATGCGCACTGCGCATCGTTCGGAGAGAGTATAGGGGTTCGCCCCTTCCCATTGGGAAAATGTGCGAAGAACGATTTCCTGAGATTCATGTGGGGCTTTTTTCAGCAAACATTGTGTACATTTGTAGATGGTTTTCGCACTCTTAATTAATCATTGTCAAATTCAGTGTTCATATAAATGACACACACACACACAAAAAAAAGGTTGGGAAGAATTGACACTCAAGCAAATCGCTCTAAAAAGCAAACAACTAATAAGTGAAAATATTTTATTCACGTTTTCCTCCCTTTCTATTGCTTTTTTTTATTTATCTCACTTTATTCTTTACTTCGTTTTAATTAATACAATGTAAATCACACTTAAATCACACCGTTACCCTGTACATTGCATAACTATACGGTATTCGGTATTTGTATTTGTGTTTTATATACTTTATCTTTTGTATTTTGTGCAATAAAGCAAGAATTGAATTAAAAAGGAAGCAATGAAAAGGAACCAAAACGTTCTTTTTCTTCTTGGACTTGTTTCTTAAAATTTATTATTATCAAATTGTCCTTTTAAAAACTTACTAACCCAGTCGGGCGACGTTTTGTCCACAGGCTTTTGTACATTATGTTAGCATTTTTTCGAGCATTTTAGCGAGGCAAAAGCATTAAGCATTATTCGAGCATTTCAGTGGCATTTTCCTGGAAAATTGATTTTTTTTTCTACGTGCATAAAATAGAAATAAAAATTATTTTTACGAGAAAATGAAGGCTTAATTTGAAATTGAAAAAAGTCGAATGCTAATACAGCCGAGTGGAGACTGAGGAGAGGTTAGCGGTGGTCAAATGAAATGAAAAGATCATTCAGAGAATTATCCTTGGGTATCTATTATATACGTTGAGTTATACTACGTATACGTTTTTTTAAGCACCCTGATATGTTAAGTGTAATAACACGTTAAAATTATTTAAATTTAAGAAACCCTATGTATGAGCATTGACCGAGCATTGTGCTGACTTTTTGGGGGAAGACCGAGCATGTTAGTGGGAAAAATGGAGCATTAAGGTGAAGCATTTTAGTGGGAAAATAACAGCACAATGTACAACAGCCTATTTGTCTAGCGGATAAATTTGGCAATCATACACACAGAATTCCACGGCATTGAAATTTTTGACGTTCTGCATTTGAATGCATTTCTTGTCTTTATCTTCAATGAAATGTACTTTGAAAAAAGTGCACTTCAAGTTTCTTTCATATTTTAATCTTAAGTTCGGAACTTTCTTGGGCATTTTGAGCGAACGTATTTGTCACACTCGTTATCTGATGAGCATCTCGTCGGAACTTCGCTTCTAAATTAAATATTCTGTGTTAATCCCGATGTTTGCATATTGAATCAAGCTAAGCCGTTTTGTGTGTTTATAAATTTAGAAAATTACTACATCGCTTCAGAAAATACAACGGAGCGTATTTATTTCGATTAAAGTAAAGGAAAGCGTAGACTGAAGTTATTCTGCAGTTTTGTGGAGGATAGCAATCAGTTTCACACCGCCGACGGCCATGATGTCAATAATTGTTTAAATAAATCTACATGTACTTCTCTATTTAATTACCAGTTAACTGAAGAAAAAAATAACCCACTGCAGTCCTACTTATTGAAATGCCTTTGTACACAATGAAAACTCGCCTCTCAACTGACTATTTTAAGATACTTTATTCTGTGTTTTGTTCGCTTCAAAAATGATGCCCCGATGTTTTACGGTAGAACATTTTATGGCTCTTTAGATCAGTTTTGATTTGTGTCACGCCCTTTGTTAGCAAGTATTCTTTTATTGCCTATAGGTTGATAATATATAGATTTAGCCAAGCCTAAAAGCGTAGCTCCTGATTCCAAAAATTAACCATAAAGGAAAAAAAGGATTTGTTTTCTAGGATCAGAAACTCAAAATATGATCAATTATGAGTTCAGCGCGTGGTTTTGCTACTCTTTCGAGTTAGATTTTAACAAACTATACCCTCTATAAGCGTAACTTAAAGATTGTAAAAATTACGTACACAGTACATCAGGGACATACCAAGGGACAATTGTACAAGGAATATATCAGAAGGAAAGTCCACAATGCACCAGAGGTGAACTTGCACCAAAAGCTTGCCTTTGCATGTACCCCCTCTTTCTTTCCAGAGTAATAACCTGACTTGAGCCTGTGATCCAAAAACTAGCACCGGGTCAGCTGTCAATAAGTTCTAAACCTGACCACGCGATATGGTCACATAATACTCGTCAGTGGAAACCTTGTTTTGAGAGCTGTCAATAAACCATAACACGGATGAGCAATATCAAAAATGCTCTTATGTTAATGGTGCTATCTTAATTTTCAAGGTATTCGGCTTGGCGCACGGACAGTTACTTGACAATCAAAATTTTTAGATCGATGGGTTACAAAATTTTCGAAGGCATGGGGCTCCACTCGCGCACAGGAGCTCCGCTGTAATGAGATTCATTCCCTACTACTCAGGAACTGTTACTGGATTACCTTGAATTATTATTTTTTTT